TGTGTGTGTGTGTGTGTGTGTGTGTGTGTCTGTGTCTCTCTCTGTGTGTGTGTGTCTGTGCGTGTGCGTGTGTGTGTGTATATGTCCTATGTGTGTCTGTTGTTATGGTTTTAAATCTATATTTAACCTCAGAATGATCTCAAAGTAAGTGAAAAGATTTTGTAGTGGCTGTGCTTTAAAACTAAATTATTATAATCTTAATTCAAGGGACAAAGAATTTGTGACAAAGTGACCGTAATAATCTGTGTTGAATACTACTGTGAGGTTAACCCTGCCTGCTTTAAATGTTTGAAAATTGAAAACATTAGAAATTTAGAAAAGTAATCAAATGTAATCAGTTACATTACTTTAATAGAGTAATTGAAATAGTTGCACTACTTATTACATTTTAGACAGGGTAACTTGTAATCTGTAACCTATTAGATTTCCAAAGTAACTTTCCCAACACTGGTTACTCATGAGTGTATCTGCTGTAATGATGCTGATGCTGATGCTGATGCTGATGGTGTGTTCAGCTGCGGGATCTGCGCAGAGAGATGGAGGAGCTGCAGAATAACAGAGTGGAGGTGGACTCAATCACCAGAGCCGAGATTAAAGCCAAAGAACTGGAGAACACACTGCGCACCGAGGAGAGGTCAGACACACACACTTCATCTGTATAATATCTAATAATGCTTCATCTAATAACAGTTTGCAGTAAGTCTGAATGATGGGTTGGCTGTGATTCTCCTCAGGAATAAAGTGGTGATGAACAACAGCATCAGCAAACTGGAGAAGAAGATCCACGAGCTGATGGAGCAGATGGAGGAGGAGCACAAGATCTCCACCGAACAGAGAGAGCTGGTATGATGACGATCACACATCCACACCAGCAGAGGGAGACACAACATCACATCACACACTCGTCAAACGAATTAAGAGTGAAAAACTGGAAAATAATGAATTTGAGAATTCAACAAAAAAACTAAACCGAACTCTTTCACTCGCGTATAATTACTGCACGTTGAAACGTTCTGAAATATCTCTTATTTAAAGATGGAAATAAATAGAAATTAATATTTTCAATCCCAGATTTTCAATGTGATCTCAGTTGTAAATTTCCTACCGTAAATATATCAAAACTTAATTTTTGATTAGTAATATGCATTGCTAAGAACTTCATTTGGACAACTTTAAAGATGATTTTCTCAGTATTTTAATATTATTTTCAAATATTGTTCTATCCTAACAAAGCATACATCAATGGAGAGCTTATTTATTCAGCTTTCAGAAGATGTATAAATCTCAATTTCGAAAAATTGACCCTTATGACTGGTTTTGAGGTCCAGGGTCACACATGTTAAAAAAAAAAAACACTTAACAGTAGTGAGAATTACTGAGAATGAAAAATAAAGGGAATTTTTTGGAATTTGTAATGAAAATAATGTCAATGGATTTGAATTTATGGTGAAATATGAACTTTTTCATGATAGTCACCAATTTAAAAAAAAGGCATAGCAGAAGGTGATTTGTATTAATTTGCTTATACAAGAGCACGTCCAGGTCAAATTTCACCCCAAAAAGACCAAAATAATCATATTTTTTTCATTAAGAAAACTGAAAAAAAAATATTTTAAGAAAAAAAAAATTACATAAGAGTTTGGCGTTAAAATATATATTTTTTTGTAAACATGAAAATGATTTTTAATGCAAAACATCTTAATGGTTCTGAATTTAGGGTGAAATATGGCTGGATATTTTTTTTTATATTTCACCCCAAACTCAGGACCGGCATGTGTTTGCAATGCAACAATTTCAACATTTAATGATAAAAAACCTCGAAATTTTCATTACTGCAACTAAAAATAAAATAAAATACTGCATCACA